TCTAGAGGCATTTTCTCCTGACGTTTCGCCTGCATCTATGGCAAGCATCATCAGAGGTAGTGAGGTCTGTTGGAACTAGGAAAATGGGTTTATATATCTGTGGAATGACCAGGGTGGGACAAAGAACTCTTGTCTGCTGGAGCTAGATGTGAATGTTTCGACTGACCACCTTGATTAGCATTTGATTGCCTGGCAGTGCCTGTTGAAATTGTCCACATGCTTGTGGATTTCAATGGCTTCTCTGTGTAGTCTGACATGGTGGTACATATACACAGACTGGGCCACAGCAATGCGTGGCAGGGGGTGGCTAGTATTACATAAAAAGTAAGAAAGAATGCCTCTTTTATATATATATTAGCTCACCCTATGTTCAAATATATTAACTGCCGAAAGAATAAAGGAAGATTTGTTTCCTTGTGACATGAAAAACCTCAGTTCTTTTCATGCTCAAATGAAAAGCTACTCCAAGGATCACAAAACTGAAAAAGATCCCAAAGACCACCTACTAGTCCAAAGGCATCATCGACAAACATGACCCCAAACTTAGTTTACAAATCTCCAGTGAAGAAGAACTCATCTCCTTCTGAAAAAGTCAGTTCCATAACTAAGTAGGTCTGACTGTCAGGAAGTTATTTCCAATGCTTAGTTGGAATCCCATTTTACTAGCAACCAGTATTAAAAAAAAAATCTAAAATCTGGACAGTAAATAAAGAGGAACACTCAGAAAACAGGGGAATTCCAGACAGGAAGCAATCAGTGCCAGCTAACACCCCCCCCCCCCCCCCCCCTCCCAATCAAAGGATTCACTCATGTAGGAATCAGCCAGGCCTTGAAGCTGCAAGGCTGTTCAATGCCTTGCAGCACTGTTTTTACTGTTATTATGATGTTTTTATAATGTTTAATATTTTTTAACCTAAGATGTATATTTATGCTTTTGTTGTCAGCCACCCTGAGTCCCTGTGGGTGAAACGTCAGGAGAGAATGTTTCTGGAACATGACCATACAGCCCAGAAAACTCACAACAACCCTATTGCGAATACTGTTTCTTGGTAGCTTCTTGTTCACCCCCCACCCACACTAATTTCAGACTTTCACTAGCATTGTGTGATCATCTTTCCGATCTTTGTATTTTGTTTCAAAGCCTTTTTTGCTGTCAGAAAGCATCCATCATACTTTGTCACCAATCATGAACCTGAAAAATAATAACACTAGACAGCCGGGTGAAATTAAAGGGGATGCACAAGGGTATTGGGAAGGCTCTGTCTTGTGTCCCCATCAAGGAGTCTATGACAGTGATGGGACCAAAAGAAAGTCCACTTGTCTAACGAACTTTCAAGGTCAGTTTTTAAGCTCTTCAGACATTAACAAAGAATGAAAAAAAAGAAAAATTTGCCACACTATAAAACCAATTGATTTTAATCAATGGCAATTTTTTTAAAAAAATTCATTGTTAATGCCTGAAGAACTTTAAGATAGGAAGGTTTTTTTGAATTAGCAGTGACTTGAGAAACTGCAAGTCAATAATGGTGTGAGAGAATTGCCCGTCTGCAAGGATGTTGCTCAGGGGACGCCTGGATGTTTTGCTGTTTTACCATCCTTGTGAGAGATTTCTCTCATGTCCCTGTATGGGGAGCTGGAGCTGACAGAGAGAGCTCATCCGCACTCTCCCCGGATTTAAACCTCCGACCTGTCAGTCATCAGTCCTGCCGACACAAGGGTTTAACCCATTGAGCAACCAGAAGATTCCTAGGAAGGTGGCAGGAAGGAAATCAGGCTCGCAAGCCTTCTCCATAGCTGAGATGCTGCAACAGAGAAGGCCTTTGTCTCTGGTTATTTCTGAAGATGGGCTGATTGGAGCTGGATCAACACTGCCATATAGTGCAGTTTAAACGTCATCATATGGCTCTACATTCGCCATATAATGCAATTCAAACTGCATTACGCGGCAGTGTAGAGCCAGCCAAAGGCCCCTGAGGTCATCCTAGTAGCTGGGTAGATTTGGAAGTGAGCATCTTGGCTAAAGTGCAGCTTTTATACTGCATTGCTCTCTCTTTTTTCACCAAAAGGAGATGCTGAGGTTGTGATTTCTAGAGAAACAGTACATGAAAGATCTTTCCCACTGCATTGGTTCGCACCCTACACTTAGACAGGTCCCAACAACCTGTCTAAAAGAAGGCTGTCAATCTAAATGTAGGCTGTCAATCTAAATGTAGGTTGTCACCCCTGACCATCTGTTGGAGATACTTTGAATGCAATTTTCCTGCTTCTTGGCAGGGGGTTGGACTGGATGGCCCACAAGGTCTCTCCCAACTTTATGATTCTAATTTCTCCGGTCAAGAAATGTACGCTTTTGCTTATGCAGACTAAAACCATTTTTGTCTGCAGGGAGCAATGTGCGGCAACAGCACTTCAAAAATAATATGTTGCCGCCGCAAACACTGTGCCTATGCAGATCTTTAAAGGGCTTGGGTTTCTGGACCTCCTCCCCTATGTGTCAGCTGAGTCAGCCTCAGAGATGTGACATGGGACTCGCCCAATATGGCAAAGAAGAAGGGAGGCAAACGGGTGGCAACGTGGATGCCATGCTCGGGGTCTCAAAATACATCTCTATATATGAAATGTCAAAGTATGTATCTACTGGATGTCTTGACCATAGAATCATAGAGCTGGAGGAGACCTCATGGGCCATCCAGTCCAACCCCCTGCCAAGAAGCAGGAAAATTGAACTCAAAGCACCCCCAAAAGATAGCCACCCAGCCTCTGTTTAAAAGCTTCCAAAAAAGGAGCCTCCACCACACTCCGGGGCAGAGAGTTCCACTACTGAACGGCTCTCACAGTCAGGAAGTTCTTCCTAATGTTCATAAAGGCTGTTGCCAGGGGAAGTGGCCCTCTATGATGTTACTGGGAAGGAAAAGTGACGTATGTATGAGGAGAAGGGAGGGAGGAAGGAAAGAGTTACACAGAAAGTCATGTCACCATAGAGGCATTGTGATGTAAGCTACAGGAGAAAAGAGACAGGGAGGTGAGAAGGAAGAAAAGAAAGAAAGAAGAAAAGAAAGAAAGGAGGGGGATGAAAGAAAAAGGAGAGAAAGAAAGCCAAAGGAAAGGGGGAAAGGCATGAGGGGAGGAACAGAGAAAGAAGGAATGAAAGGAGGGGGCAGTCCCAAGGACTCCTGGACAATGAAGGGTATATAACAGGGGTCCTCACACTTTTTAAACAGAGGGCCAGGTTACGGTCCCTCAAACTGTTGGGAGGGCCAGATTATAACTTGAAAAATAAAACATGAATGAATTCCTATGTGCACTGCACATATCTTATTTGTATGCAAAAAAAAAACCCCACTTTAAAACAATACAATAATTAAAATGAAGAACAATTTTAACAAATATAAACTTGTTAGTATTTCAGTGAGAAATGTGGGCCTGCTTTTGGATGATGAGATAGGATTGTTATTGTTATTGTGTGCTTTCAAGTTGTTTCAGACTTAGGTTGACCCTGAGCAGGGCCAGGTAAATGACCTTGGAGGGCTGCATCCGGGCCTTAGTTTGAGGACCTCTGGTATATAGGCTACTGGAACACTAAATTATGGGAAATTAGGAAAAAACTCAAAAGCCACAGGGAAAACGGACTCTTGGGTAGTGGCAGACTTCTTTGTCTCTCTCGTTCTCACTCTTAAGAGACGGGGGGGGGGGGGGGGGGGGGGGGGGAGAGGCAATACTTCTCTGCAACCCTGTTCCCAGACCTGTGAAGCCAAGTTTGTGATATTTGGACAGGTCCCAGTTCAAGAAATGCAGTGCCCCTTTCCCTTCAGAGAAGGGAAGCTCTCCAGGAAGAGGTCCTGAGTTTAGGCTGAGTTTGCCCCTTTCTGGATTGTTCTGAGTTTTCCGGGCTCTATGGCCATGTTCCAGAAGCATTATTTCTTGATGTTTCATCCACATCTATGGAAGGCATCCCAGCCCAGTGATGCTTGTGGATTTAAATGGCTTTTCTGTATAGTCCAACATGGTGGTTGTTAAGAGTGATCCAGTTGTTAGAGATGCCCCTTTCTTTCAAAATGTTTTCCCTTTTGGCCCCCCTTTTGACATTTCAAAATGACCTTAAGCTTAAGCAGATGAGAGGGAAAAGGAAAGGGCCTGAGGCTGTTAGGAATGGTGGGAGTTGATGTCCAAAACACCTGGAGGGCCCAAGTTGGCCTGTGCATGAGTGATCTCCACCTACTAATTTGCATATGTGTTCTGATTGGCCAGACTCAACATTCTAACATTCTTAAGCGGCATAGGACCTGAGGCTATTAGGAAAGGTGGGAGTTGATGTTCAAAACACCTGGAAGGCCTAAGTTGGCCCATGCATGAGCGATCTCCACCTACTAATTTGCATATGTGTTCTGATTGGCCAGACTCAACATTCTAACATTCTTAAGCGGCTTAGGACCTGAGGCTATTAGGAATGGTGGGAGTTGCTGTTCAAAACACCTGGAAGGCCTAAGTTGACCCATGCATGAGCGATCTCCACCTACTAATTTACATATGTGTTCTGATTGGCCAGACTCAACATTCTAACATTCTTAAGCGGCTTAGGACCTGAGGCTATTAGGAAAGGTGGGAGTTGCCGTTCAAAACACCAGGAAGGCCTAAGTTGGCCCATGCATGAGCGATCTCCACCTACTAATTTGCATATGGTTTCTGATTGGCCAGCCTCAACATTCTAACATTCTTAACCAGCCGAGCACCTGAGGCTGTGAGGAATGATGGGAGTTGATGTCCAAAACACCGTGAGGGCCCAAGTTGGCCCATGCATGAGCTATCTCTGCCTACTAATTTGCATATGGTTTCTGATTGGCCAGCCTCAACATTCTAACATTCTTCACCGGCTGAGCGCCTGAGGCTGTGAGGAATGGTGGGAGCTGCAGTCCAAAACACCAAGCCTGCCCAGGCCTGAGCCTAGCTCCCTTCCTGTGCCCCGGATGCCACCCCTTCCAATCCCTCTCTTCCGTTCTCACCGTCGCTTGTACTCGTCGCGCTCGCGCTTGACTTTGGCCAGGACGTTGTAGAGGGCGCGGATCTCGGGGGTGATGGTGTCGATCTGGACGCCGACGCCGTCCGGGTGGAGCCAGGAGACGCCGGGCCCTTGCACCAGCGTGGTCTCCGGCCCGGGCCCCAGGCGCCGCGGCTGCGAGAAGGACCAGATGGTGCCCGGCAGGAAGCGCGTCGAGGCGGAGGAGGAGGAGGAGGAGGAAGGCGAGGCGAGGCTGCTGGGCGCCAAGGGGGCTCCCGGGTGGCAGCCGGGGGAGGCCAAGCTCCGCGCGGGGTTGGGGCTGGGGGAGCCCAGCACCCGCGGGGCGATGCTTCCCGCCAAGGGCAGCCCGAGCGGGCGGATGGGCCCCACGAAGCCCGTCTGGACGCCTTGGTCGCGCCGGGAGATGCTGGAGCGCCGCGCGCTGCCCCCTCCCCCTCCTCCCCCATTGCCTCCCCCTTCGAGGGCCTGTTGGAGCTGCTTCTCCAGCTGCCGGTTGCGGCGCTCCAGCTCGTGCACTTTGGCCAGGAAGCATCGGAAGCGCAGGTTGAGCGTCTTGAGCACGTTGATGTTGGAGCCCAGGTCGTTGCGGAGCGCCATGGCGGAGGAGGAGGTGGTGGTGGTGGAGGAGAAAGGCTCCCCGAAGGCCGGGCCCCACTCTTCCTCCTCGTCCTCTTCCTCGCCCCTTCTCCCTCCGCCCGGGAAGAGCCCGAAAGGAGAGTCCTGCTCCGCCTGCGGCAGGAAGAAGAGGTTGGGCCCGAATAACGGGTTCATGGCTGCGGCGCCCGGCGGGGGGACTGCGGCGGCGGGCGGGTTGGGGAGCCCGGGGGGCGTGGCCAGGCCGCGGGGGCGCCCAATCCGGAGCCGGATGCCTCCAAAGGGGCGGGGCCTCCCGGGAAAAAGGGGGCGCGCGGGCGGGCGAGCGGTGCGGCTGCGGAGTGCGCGTGCGCACGGGGCGGGGTGGGAGCAACTGAGGTCCTTTCCCCATTGGGTCCACGACTGCATTGCTTGCATCCCTTCTTGCTCTTCCTTTCTTCCAAGCTGTCACTATGGCTCTCCGAAGCTCTAGGTGCTCTAACTGCCTATTACAGGGAAAACCAACTGATCCCTAATCCATCTAAAACACAGACATGTGCCTTTCATCTCAAAAACAGAAAAGCATCCCGAGCTGTGAGGATTACCTGGGAAGGAATCCCACTGGAGCACTGCAGCACACCCAAATACCTGGGAGTCACTCTGGACCGTGCTCTTACCTCCAAGAAGCACTGCCTGAACATCAAGCAAAAAGTGGGTGCTAGAAACAATATAATACGAAAGCTGACTGGGACAACCTGGGGACCACAACCAGATACAGTGAAGACATCTGCCCTTGCGCTGTGCTACTCTGCTGCTGAGTATGCATACCCGGTGTGGAACACATCTCACCACGCTAAAACAGTGGATGTGGCTCTGAATGAGACATGCCGCATTATCACAGGGTGTCTGCGCCCTACACCACTGGAGAAATTACACTGTCTAGCTGGTATTGCACCACCTGACATCCGCCAAGAAGTAGCAGCCAATAATGAAAGGACCAAGCAGTGACATCTCCAGCTCATCCCTTGTTTGGGTATCAGCCAGCACGTCAATGACTTAAATCAAGAAATAGTTTTCTAAGATCTACAGAGACACTCGCTGGAACACCCCAGCAAGTGAGAGTCCAAAAGTGGCAGGCTCAAACCCAGAACCTCAATCAATGGCTGATACCAAATGAGAGACTCCCCCCTGGGCACTCAGAAGACTAGGCGACTTGGAAAGCGCTGAACAGACTGTGCTCTGGCATCACGAGATGCAGAGCCAATCTTAAGAAATGGGGCTACAAAGTGGAATCCATGACATGCGAATGTGGAGAAGAGCAAACCACTGACCACCTGCTGCAATGCAACTTGAGCCCTGCCATATGCACAATGGAGGACCTTCTTGCGGCAACACCAGAGGCACTCCAAGTGGCCAGATACTGGTCAAAGGACATTTAATCAACTACCAAGCTTGCAAATTCTGTGTTTTGTCTGTTTGTTTGTTTGTTTGTGTTAAAAATGTAATGCAAATGTCTGGTTGTTGATGACACAATAAATAAATAAAAAAACTATTGCCGTATAATCCACATTATCAAAGCAGACAATCCTCATTATCTTCTTTGTGCTGGATTTGATGCGTCTGTGATGGAATGAAAATCATGCGTAGTTCACATCTTTACCAATCCACACATTGTCTTGCTAGAGAAAAGATATGCCACGCAGATGATCAGTAAAACCAAGGTGTTTACGCTTTGTTATGCAGAGCAACAGGCAAATCTGACTTGGCCATGGTAGTCCATACTCTGGTTACATCCCGAATAGACTACTGCAATGCACTCCATGTGGGGTTGCCTTTGAAGACTGTTCGGATGCTTCAAATGGTCCAGCAAACGGCAGCCAGATTGCTAACAGGAGAAACTCTCAGGGAGCATACAACTCCTCTGCTGCACCAGCTCCACTGGCTGCCAGTTTGCAACCGGGCACAATTCAAAGTGCTGGCTTTAGCCTATAAAACCCTGAACGATTCTGGCCCTACTTACCTATCCGAACGCATCTCCCCTTATTAACCATCTAGGACCTTAAGATTGTCTGGGGAGGTCCTGCTCTCGTTACCACCTTCATCACAAGTACATTTGGCAGAAACAAAGGACAGGGCCTTCTCAGTGGTGGCCCCTTGGCTATGGAATGCCCTCCCTATAGATATTGGATCGGCCACCCCCCTTTTAACATTCTGGAAAAAAAGTCAAGACATGGCTTATGAACAAGCATTTGTAAATAACTTCACAATGACTTCACTTTTTAACAAGGATACACTATGAATGTATATTTTACTGATTTTTTTTAGTTTTTATTATATGTTATGTTTTTAATTGTATTTATCACATAGCAAGAAATGAATTTTGCCTTGTTAACCGCCTTGAGTCGCCTATGGACTGAGAAAGGCAGTATACAAATACAGTAAATAAAAAAATAAAATACATAAATAAAGGTAAAGGCTTTCCCCTGACATGAAGTCCAGTCTTGTCCTACTCTGGGGGTTGGTGCTCATTTCCATTTCTATGCCAAAGAGCCAGCATTGTCCATAGACACCTCCAAGGTCATGTGGCCGGCATGACTGCATTGAGCGCTGTTACCTTCCTGCTGGACTGGTACCTATTGATCTAATCACATTTGCATGTTTTCGAACTGCTAGGTTGACAGAAGCTGGGGCTGACAGCGGGAGCTCACACCGCTCCCCGGATTTGAACCTGCAACCTTTCGATTAGCAAGTTTAGCAGCTCAGCGGTTTAACCCACTGCACCACCATATATAGTCATGTGAACAGTTGCATTGACTCACACAATGTCCTTTGAGGGAGATTCAAATGTTCTTTAGGTGTCCATTTGAATGACCTTCTTCCAGCAGCTCAGAAGCAGAAAATATACTAACATGTCTTGGCAAGCTCCTGCACAGAAGAACCTAAAAATGTAACTGATGCCAAAACTCCCAAGCTCAGCTAGCCTCTCGGGTGTGTTGTGGGAGTGGGAGCAATCGAGGTCCTTTCTACCCTGGGTCCACTACTGCATTGCTTTCATCCCTTCTTTCTCTTCCTTCCATCATAGCTGTCACTATGGCCATATAATCCATATTATTATCAAAGTAGATAATCCACGTGATCTGCTTTGAACCGGATTAGATGAGCCTACACTGCCATATAATTCAGTTCAAAGCAGATAATCTGGATTTTATATGGTAGCATAGAAGTGATTAGAATGTGGAAGGATGGGTGTTTTGTTTTTGTAATTCTTCATATATAATGCGTATTGGAGGTGGCATTTCATGTGTGTGTGAATCATATCTATCTATCTATCTATCTATCATCTATTTATCTATCTATTTATGGCTGGCTGGCTCTTTGTCAGGAGGACTTTGATTACGTTTTCTTGCCCTTGTGAAGGTAGTTGGATTGGATGGCCTTAAGTATTTTCTGTTGGTCATGGGAGTTCTGTGTGGGAAGTTTGCCCTGATTCTGTCGTTTGTGGGGTTCAGAATGCTCTTTGATTGTAGGTGAACTGCGAATCCCAGTGACTACAACTACCAAATGTCAAGGTCTATTTCCCCCAAACTCCATCTGTGTTCATATTTAGGCATATTGAGTGCTTGTGCCAAGTTTGGTCCAGATCCATCATTGTTTGAGTCCACAGTGCGCTCTGGATGTAGGTGAACTACAACTCCCAAACTCAAGGTCAATGCCCACCAAACCCTTCCAGTATTTTCTGTTGGTCATGGGAGTTCTGTGTGCCAAGTTTGGTTCAATTCCATTGTTGATGGAGTTCAGAATGCTCTTTGATTGTAGGTGAACTATAAATCCCAGCAACTATAACTCCCAAATGACAAAATCATAAATTTTTGAGTGATGGTCAGTCCTTGTGTTGTGAGACATTTTGTTGCCAAATTTGGTGTGATTTTAAGGCAGAAGATACAGCTTTAGTTTTACAAAATGCCGGGGTCTTCATGGAGAAAAGAGAACGGATATGGACTTGACCATATATGGGAAACAAAGACAAGTTTTGGTGCCAAAGATAAGTTTTTTGTGCAAGGGTGAAGTATCGGTCAGGAGACGTGCTGACTTTGCAGAGAGGGACCAGCCAAGGCTAAATTGAGTTGCCAGATCAGCAGATGTCCCCAGCTGTATTAGCGTATCAGCATCTTGTGATGTTCTTGTGATGTTTCCAAAAAGGGCTTGCTTATTGAGAAACGAAACTTAAAAGTATATGATCTAATTGCTTAACGTAAATATAATATTGACAGCTTTCTTAACCAATGATTTAATCTTTGGGGCGGCTCTTAAAGCCGAACCCCTTTGCATGTATAAAAGGAACACTAACCCTTTGTGCTGGGTGACTTCCCCAGAGACGTCCCGTTACGTCGGAAGTCATCTAGCAGCTGCTAAATAAAATACTTTGATTTCTTCTGAACCCTGTTGGCTGTTTTCCCTGACTCATCTGCGTCCGCAATCGGACTTGGTTTGAACATTTTGGCTAAGCTCTTGAGCATTGCTCAGGAGAGGAAAAAGTCTGCTTCATTTTTGGAGGTTCCACCGAGATAAATTCAGACGGGCCGAGAGTCAGGGGAGATGGATCTTGTTGGCAAGACGATTTTTGATCAGCATCGGGGACTAGAGGCGATTGCCGTGAGCCGAGACTAAGGGGGCCCCCGACTGATAACCGGCTGCGACACTCCCCTCTTTTGTCCGTGCCGCTTGATCAAGGAAAATCGCAACTCTTCGGGTTCTCAAGAAATCAACTGGGAGTGGAGAAGTGGTAGGAAGGATCCAGGAGGAGGAAAGTCCGGGGGCGAAGGTTGTTCCGACGTCTACAGCAATCCGGCGAGTATAAGTGGTCAAGTAAAGACACTAGGTAACACACACCAGCGCTGGGGGGGGGACCACTAAGTATCCCGTGGGGTAGTGGGAGGACGGGGCAAACCTTGCGTTTCCTGAAACGTGCCGTTGAGTGTCTGGACGTCAAGGCCAAGGTTTGCTCCCCACTAGAGGCCATGGGTGGGAGGAATTCAATGGCAGTGACTCCGCTTCAGTGTATGCTAGACAACTTTGATAAGTTTGTAGCTGCATCAAGTCAGGGAGATCCAGGAGATTTTAAGGATTACAGATTAAGGAATCTGTGTACAGGAGAATGGCCTACCTTTCCTTTTGGGTGGCCTGCAGAAGGGTCATGGGACCTCAAGAAAATTAGGCATGTCTGAAGCGCTGTTTTGTGAAAAGGAAAG